GGTAGAATGCTCGCCGACCACGCATGTGGTCCGGGGTTCAATCCCCGGCTGACCCAACCCTTTACCTCACTAAGCCTGTACTAAAGCTGGTAAAGTGGAAAGGTGGGGCATGAGGCTGGCTAGCAACCTCATCCTGTAAAAATAAACACTGCTAAAGAAGAAACTTCAAGACTACAGCTTGAAGCCCTATGTTCCAATGGGAACGTGAAGGAATGAAATGAAATGATCATGGGCAGTAATCAATTGTCCTCGAAATGTCATCATCAGTAAATATCACTTGTATAACACTGTAAGACTTTATCAAAATAAATTTTCTCCTGAATGGAGCTACCTAAATGTTCTATCCATCAAAATGCATCGTTTTCCAACTTTATTTCAAATTGTCCTCATCCTCTAATTACCACAATAAGTCGCAGACTATATTCGCACACAATTTCAAACAACTTTCTACACTCTGGTAGGACTTTCTCGAAGGAAATTGAAGAAGAGCCTTTTGGAGTAATGAGTATTAGGGGGGGAACAGTACTGCTTCAGATGATGTATTATAATCGATACTAGTGCACTTCAGATATTACTTTTAGTAATCTTCTCAATATATCCATCTATCCTACAGCTAACATTGTATCTCTCCGAATTCTACTCATAAACCACACACCCTTATAGTAACATAAAATAGATAAAATGAATGAAAGAACAATATATATTTTTGTTCATATACAGATATATATACGTTTGTATTCCCACATATAGTCTACCACAAAACGCCGCTATGCATATGCAAATCTCTTGTTACTTCGTAGTCTTATAACTAAAAACCTTCAATTCAATATATATAGTTTATTTTGCGAATGGCAAATGTGTGAATATATTAATGCCAGTACTGTGTATATCTGTGTAAATCTTTCAGGACAATGTCATAAAGAAGTACACATCACAATCATTATCAGTCGAATTAAACAAATTTAAATAAACCTTGACTTTTGTTTTAAAAATAAAGTCGCCACCAGTTCAAACTCATTAAAATGTACATGCTGATAGTTAAATCCTTCAAATATGAGAAGAAAAGACATAAAATACTTCTTTAACTAACAGAATGATAAAGGCATAGCATGCTCTCTTTTGACTTATTCTGTTTTTTGCAAAAACTAGTAAGGTGAATGACCTTTAAAATTGAATATATATTTATTTGTTTAAGTTAGTCAACGAAAATGTATTCAAATAGTGGCGGAAAATATGAAAAACGCACACACATGAAAAAGGGAAAAAGAGAGAGCAATAAAACAGGTGCACAAAACTATGCATATAAACATAAATAATAGTAAAAAAATATTTAAAAAATACTAGGAAACAATAAAGCAAAAGAATGTCGACTACTTTGTTAATGAAAATGATATTTGGATTATTCACAAAGCCTATCTGTTTTTGTTTTGTGAAGTAAAGTGTTTGGAAAATGTTAATGGAGTGTTAAATTTACTTATAGAATTACGTCTTTCTATAGCTGGTTTGTACGGGTTAGTTTTGTCTTACGAGTTGACCACGGATTGATATCAGTTGAAGAAACATTGAAAACCAGACAGCAAGTACTGGAGAGCTGTTTCATCCTAGTTTGGGAATCACCGGCAGTGCACACCAAACACCGAAAGCGTTCGAATCCAGGACCTTCCGGTTACAAGTCAAGCTGGCTCGCATACCATTCAACCACTGAGACCAGATTACTCAATGGCCATTTCATGAATTCGAAATTCTCCCAATTCGCCATTTAGCGCGATCTCAACCAATGTCATCGGTGGGACATCCATCCTGTTTTGGTGCTTTTGCATCCAGCTACAGGCAGTTACACCGATAAGGATATCAAATCCAGACAAAATTGAAAAGCCTAAACACATATTATGGCTCTGAATTAAGTTTAGAAATTTACTCCAACTACTCAGCATAATGAGCAAAATATGGGTTTTCAAGTATACGTTTTGTAGGGAAATTGTTTTGATTGGTTGGGGGATTTCATCATGAGCTGACATCAGTTAGAGAACTATTGGAAAACCTGCACTAGATTACTGGACGGCTGTTTCGTTCTAGTTTGGGTGCCTTCAATACCAGTGTTACTGCTTCTGTATGGGTTGGAAACTTGGTGAAAGTGTCATAGAAAGCAATTCGAATAGGCCATAGCATACTTTCACCGGCAACTGCCTTCATTAGCTCCGTACTCAACATCAAATGGTCAGCCAGAAGGAACTAACGACAACAAGTCTTGGAAATAAACCAACTGATATTTTATAGTTCAAGAAATATGATGAGGAAAGTGGAGATGCGCTGGGTACGCGCTAAAGAGAAAGGCATATGATATTGCGATCCAGGCTAGTGCTGGAGTAGAATCTGAATGAAAAACAATGGGTTGCGCGTTGGTTTTAGTGTAACATGGAGGAGACAGTCTGAGGAGAAAATGAGAATTCATAATTCTTCGAAGTAGGTCGTTTAGTTGCAAAGCTTTTATAAGGAGAATATGTCTGGAAACCAGGTGACTTTTTCAGATTTACAGAAACTACCAAAATACGAAGAATGTTAGACATGATGGAGAAGATTTTCAGTTTAAGCAGATGATTTCGGCATAGTTACATCGTTTCATATGGATAGTTTAACTATGACACTTTTGTTGGCTTTTTGTGCCAGAAAGGAGAATTATGGCCTCACATTGAAGAAATGCGATAACACCATAGTAATCCAACCAGACAGCCAGTCTCAATTTTTCTCCATCATATCAAAATATGTTCTGATTTTGGTTATTTTTCAATAAATATATGGTAAATAAAAGGCAGTCTGACAACCATTCAAAACGTTTTTCATTGAGTTATTTACAATATGTGTTTTCTGAAGGATCGTGACAGTGCCCCATAGTTTGCAAGCATCAGACACCGATTATGGATTAATTCATCACGTTACATTATATTAAAAACCGCTTGAGAAGATTCCATGTTTTTAGAAATCAAAAATGCAATAAACCTCAATCAAATATGCAAACCTCAGGTCCAAAATAAGTCCTTTTTATATTTGAAAAGCAAGGCCGATGAAAAAAAGCACATTTCAGAGAGTACTGAACAACCGTTTCGTCCTTGTTTCGGGCTATTCAGGAATGCACAACAATAGCCCCATCAATGGTCGAATCTATGACTTTCAAGTGACGAAATGAGCTGATTAATTTTTCAATCTCAGGGTAGCATTTCCACTGACCTATGAATTCTTATTTCTTTTTCAAAATCGCTATCTGTTGCGCGACCTCCATCCACACTGGATGATATTTCTTACTAGAAGTACAAACACCTTCATTAGAATTCGTGAGTCATTAGATTCTGTCTCAGTAGTGAAATGGCGGAAAGGCTCGCTTCATAACCAAAAGGTCCTCAGTACAATCTCTAAATAATCTGAAAACCAGAAGGAAACAGCTATCAAGTACTCGATGGTCTTTACTGTTTCCCTTATTGATACCAGTCCATAATCAGACTTGAAACCAGCTTACACAACGACACCGATTAAAATTCTGAGTACTTAATAAACCCAAACACTCAATTTTATAAAATAATTTCGTTTATGGCATAGCATTTTCATTACCGTTAGATAAATTATTCTTTTGCGGTTATTCAGGTTAATAGAACCCAGACATAAGCCTAGATAAACCTAGAGCCCCATCAAGATAGTTATTCTGAGAAAGAACTCAACTGCTCGTATACTATTCAGATGAGTCACTGACACATCAGGGTACAACAGAATGAAAGCATCTAAAACTATAAGGCTTTGATATTCGAAAGGGGTTAATTATACAGCCAACATCTATTATATATGTGAAACGAATAACGTAACACCAAATCAGGATATATGTGGAAAAATCGTAATAAAGCAACACTATGACGTAGAACTACATGAAGCATGTTGAGAAGTTTTATTTAATATACAGATGTGATATTGTTCCCTTGGGTTCCGAGTGGAGCATAGGGTTTCAGCAACACATCTCCGCTTTGCTGTATTCCCTGCCGACCTCTTCAGTTGCGTCTACGATTGCCCAAAACCTCCCATATGCTCCTCACACGACTCCTCCATGTCACCCTCGCACTGACGAGCCACTCGTCGATTCCTACTTGGAGTGCTGGAAAAGGCATTCAAAAGCATATCTCCACATCAACCTGTTTTCTGCAATCCTCATCAGCTGGCTTCATGATTTTCCATGAACTTTCATTCTCTTCTCGTATGATCTCATCTGTGTCACACTCGGATCCACAACCAAGTCGTCTTTTTCAATTCGGGTTCCACTCAACTGCCTGACTGACATGCGCTGTCATTCATAGGTCTTTTCAATGTGTATCCGATCTATACCAACTTTCTCCGGATTATTCGGTGAGCAGTAGGTTATTGATTAGATGGTTCCTAGAGTTTCGATTCGCAAATCTGTTGTGATTGACCGTCTGATCTTCAGTATGAAGGCAGCGAGGGTAGCTGTCGATAGACGTCTGCACATAGAAGAACTGACTTAATATCAGAAAGTAACCTTCTCGAAATGCTTGAGAATTATTTTTAGTATGACTTTGTCCTCTGATTAAAATGGTTTAATTCCGAATGTCTCATTACCCTTCTACACACTGTCTTCAGAGATTAAATCATCCAGCTCAGAGAATACAACCATATGAAAATTTTAACACTTGTATATCCTTTCTATTCATCATCATGACGTTGGTTCGGGACCCTGCCACTTGTGGTCCAAGGTTCGAATCCCATCAGACGGACGCACTCTCAAACCTCACTTAACCGGTAGCAAATGACGACAAAAAGAGGGAAGCTAGCAACCTCATCCTGTAAAGAAGCTAAACACCTACAATTTCAAAGCTGAAACTTGAAGCCCTACGTTCCATTCGGAACACGAAGGAGGAAACATTTAAAAAAATCGAAAATCAAACAGAGGTTCATTACAAATATAAATATATATGCATATACATATAGACATTAACAAAACTTACCGGAAATTACTACATGGGTGTATAATCCATTTACCTTGTTCCCGTTGTCTACGTTTTTCACAGGCTAATGCAACTTTATTGCCAAACAATTTCAAAGCTAGTTTATTATCTGACGGTTGAAAAAATGAGATAAACTGTTCTTTAAGATTATACATTGACCAGGCTCGATCACGTACGATGATCGGATTATTATTATTGATACTATTGTTACTGGTATTGTTATTACAATTATTATTAGTGTTAAGCATATTTATACTATGGCGATGTGAGGTAAATCCATCCGAGGATAACGGTTCTTGAATTTCATCAAGGATAGAATTATCTCCACCAATACCCATAAATGTTGTCGCCTCTTCGACTAGCTCTTGACTCCTCAGATCATTTTTATCATTAGTTACATTTATAGTATATCTACGGGAATTTCGATGTTCTAATGAATTGTCTGACTGCTTTGATGATGTATGCGGTTTACCCGTTGAGCACGTCTCATTGTTACTATTATTATTGTTATTATTACTATTGCGTGTATGAGAAGTGAGAGAGTTCAAAGTGTTCAATAATCCAACAGAATGATAACGATGCCGTAATTTCTCCGCCACATCTTTAATACTTCCACGTTTATTCTTTGATACTTCACAAGATTTAAGCTTTGGGAGAATTTCTTCAGATGACATTTTATTCAAAGAGTTTTGAAATGATTCGGCTTTAGGTTCTGTTAGGCTGTCGAATTCATCTTGTTCTTGTTCTTGTAAAGTTTGTAATTCCCAGACTTCAGATAAACTTTTCTCGGGTAGAGGATCAGCAGTGTTTGTTTTGTTGGTTGGTTGAAAGGTCAAGTGTTTTCGTGTTATCAACTTTTTATCTGATAGTTTGTCAACAAGTTTATCGGATTCTTTGGAAAAAGGCGTCTGATCAAATCGACCTTGCATTATCTATTCTTAGTTTTTCCATACAATTGGTGTAGATTAAGATTTAAATGAGTTTATAGATGGCTGTTTGTTTAAAACAGGCTCGCTTTGAATGTACTTCATAATTATTGAAGGAAATCAAATGGTTGTGAATTTATTCTCATTGTTACTGAATTATTTGCCTATAAACCTGACATAAATTTGTATCTTAAAAGCGTAAAATATGAACGACGAATTGAATAAGTCAAAGGTGAATAAATGATCACAATATATCCAATTGAATTTTCAACCAATCAAAATTCAGATAAGGATAAATTTGTTTTGACCATTCCTACTATTTTTAGGTGTTTAAAATATGTATTCCTTTTAATTGAATGTTGTATATTTAATAAACCTTTTTTCTTAGAATTTGTGATATAATTAACTGAAGAATTTGATAATATGAGAAATATTCATTATTAGATTATTATTATTATTACTGTTTCCTTTAATTCCTAGAGGAATATGGGCTTCAGCCTCACGTCTATATTGCGTTCGGTTATCTGCCAACGTTTTCACCTGCCTCCACCTCTGACCACATACTCTTATCGCCTCTTCACTTGACCTCCTTCATTTCTCCCTCACACTGACGACCAACTTGCAGCTTCCCATTCGGCCGGAGTTCCACTCGAGTGATGACCTGGCATGTAATGTCACTTGATGATGGTTTGTTTTCTCAGAGTATGGCCACCAATCCACCTCCACTTCTTACAGCATATTTGTTGCACACTTGACTCCTGCTGTGTTGGTTCGTTCATTGCCAGAGATCCCACCCTGTTGCTGATCTCTTCTGGCTGGTCGTTTGATCTTGGGTACTACTGAGCGAAGACAGATGTTGATGAGGATCTGTAATTTGTTCGAAGTGCTCTTCGTGATGCACCAAGTCTCTAATCTGTATAGTAGCACTGACTAACTTGACATTGGTGTTGAAAATTCGGATCTTATTTTTCATGCTGAGCAGTGAAGTTGACCTGTACACACACTTGAGAGCAATGGAAGCATGCCTTGCTTTCCCGAACCTCGCTTCGATATCCTCATCAGTTCCATCAGCCTGTTGTCGAAGAGATGCTTCCTAGGTAGGTGAATAGGTAAAGGAGGTTGCTTCTTTCAGATTTCTCTCATTTATGCTGATTGTTGTCTGTTGTTGTTGCTATTGCTGTTGGCCAGGAATCTTCATCATCGCCTCTGTTTTCTTTATGTTCACCTGAACTGCTATCTCTGATGCTTTCTCTATCGAAAACTTGTTGCTTTTCACTTGCATATATTCCAGTTTTTGGAAAATTAGACATATATTATTGATAATGTTATTATTGGGTGGTTAGAGAAAATCGGAAGGAAGCCTAGCCTAATAAAGTTTTCGCGTTCATCGGCAGTCACCAGTCAGCAAGGCGTATTTGTCATCTTGAAGGAACTCACATTATTTCCGAAAGTCGAACTCGTGACACTGAGAGCTGTAATCAAAGATATTACCACACGGCTATTCCAGGTTATGATTGACCTGCTGCAACAAACAAAAGACTGAACGCATGATACTAATTACTGACTAGTGTGCAATCAAATAAACGTTCATTCCGAAATGCAATGAACTCGACAACGACTCTGAATGCAGAAATACCAGTAAGCTGTCGGCTGGTGAAATAATATTAGGTTTTTATTTATATCTTATCTCCATTATTTTCAAATTTCAAAATAAAAATGTACAAACGAACAAATTAGGTGTCAGTTTGATCATTAATATCCCCAATAGTAGCAGACGCATTTATTAACAGCTTGGAATATAAAGCTCTTGGAAATTCCAGCTTTGCTCTTAAATTAAGGTAGAGATATAGGACTGACGATTTTGCTTTGCTGTAATCTAAACATATCCCTCGGGTTTTCACACATGTATAATAATAACTTTATTCCTGCAGTACTTTTGATATATCACCGAAAATACCCATTGAGTCTTGAAGAAAATAAAAGACAGATTCAGCGAAGAAAATTTTCTTTATCAGCGAAATCATCTTCAGAGGCTGTACAATCGTATTTATACTTTGGGCCACCTCAATGTGTGTTTATAAATTCACTTGCTCGTGTGGAGCTAGTTATATTGGCCGCACAAAGCGCACGCTTTCCAAACGCATCTCTGAACATTATCCGGCATGGTTATCAAAGGGACAATGTAAGACAACTACTGGCTGAATCCTCGAGCATTTGGTGAACTCAGGCCACGTAGCTCCACCAGAATCGTCTTTCAAGATCATCTACAAAGTGAAGCCAAATGGTACAAAGGGAGTCAGGTTTCGGCTTTTGTGTATGGCGGAAGCTCTAGCAATTCATCAATACAACCCTGAACTCTGTATACAGAAAAAGTTTGTCCAGTCTCTTATTCTTCCTTGGTCTTAACCGCTTCACTAATCATTCCTTGTAAATAAAAAAACATTTTTTTGATTTTTTCTTTTCATTCTAATTTCACTTTTAGTTAGCTTTTGCTTTAATAATTAATTCACTATTATCACTCTCATATGCTCCTTTTGTATATTTTCACACCCTCTTCACACTTGTTAAATTGACACTCAAATACCTTTATTCTCACTTAATAGCAATTTCAACCTTATCAATTTTCTATCTTTTTGCCGTTGAGTACCACGTAATTTACTTTAATTTTACTTTTAATTTTTACTTCTAAAGCCACTTCTGAGTAATTATATCAATTATGCCACCCCCTATTACTCAATAATAGACCACTACATATTTTTGTGAGTATAAATACGATTGTACAGCCTCTGAAGATGATTTCGTTGATAAAGAAAATTTTCTTCGCTGAATCTGTCTTTTACTTTTGATACAAATATGAACTTTTCAGCGTGTTGTGCAGTATTGTATCTAATTTTCTCATTACATAATACAGGGTTAATTAAACATCGATTTCACATTGATAATATTGGTTTGAGGATCTTATCATGAGCTGACATCAGTTAGAGAACCACTGGAAAACCGAGGAGTACTGGACACCTGGCTGTTTTGTAAGCCCAGTTTGCGACTATTCATCAGTACGCACTCACCAGGGTTCGAGCTGGCCTTGTAACGAGAAGGTTTGAACCCTGAAGGTAGGTGCGTAGTACTGAATAATCCCAAACTAGGACGAAACAGCTGTTTAGTACTCGAGTGCAGGCTTTCCAATAGTTCTCTGACTGATATCAGCTCATGATGAAATTTTCCAACCAGTCAAATGAAAATTGGAATTTAAGTAAAACTGTTTACAACAATAATAAAGAATAAAAAGGGCGGTTTGCGTAATTTCTCTCAGTAAATGTTTAGTGTCATACCTTACACTTTCCTCATCACATAAAATGTGTACCAAACCACGTACTGTAGAGTTTCTGCACCTAATTCCCAATAGCTGCTTCTAACTCTACCTGATAATATGGAAGTAGAGTGAGTTGTGTGTGGAGCGGAACACTATCCAGCATGGTTAGCAAAGGGAGAAAGCAAAGGGGCATACTGTGTGATAAAAAGAACATCTGGTGAATTCTGGATATTCAGCCCCATTCGAAAAGTCCTTCAAAGCCATATTATACCAGATCCTATCCAACCTACCAAAGGGAGTGAAATCAAAACATCTAGGATTAGCTGAGGCACTGGTGATCCAAAAACTCAAGCCTACTACTCCATGTGTCCAGAAGAAATACGCCCAACTGTTGTCCCTCTTGTGGTCATCATGAAAAGTCAGTCTCAAGAATAATGATTAACCTACTGACTGAAGGGAAGGTTACCTCGTGAAACTACCAAAGAAGGGCGACCTAGGACTCTGCAAGAACTGGCGAGGAATCATGCTCCTGTCGACGCCAAGTAAAATCCTGAGTCGCATCATCCTGGAGAGGATAAAGGACGCACTGGATACAGAACTCCGACCAGAACAAGCTGGATTCAGGAAAGACAAATCATGTTCTGACCAAATTGCAACTCTACGCATCATCATCGAACAAAGCATGGAATGGCACTCAAACCTCTACCTCAACTTTATAGACTTTGAGAAGGCTTTCGACAGCGTTGACCGCGAAGTAATTTGGAAACTACTCGAGTACTATGGCGTACCCCAAATATTCATCAACCTTATTCAACAGCTGTACGATAACGGCACATGTCAAGTGATCCACAACGGAAAACTCAGCAAGACGTTTGGAGTAAACACAGGAGTCAGACAAGGGTGCTTATTATCACCAATGATATTCCTAATTGTGGTGGACTGGATTATGCGTCAGACAGTGGGAAACGAGAAGACAGGGATATCCTGGACCGACGTGAAGAACCTAGAAGACCTGGATTTTGCGGATGATTTATGTTTGATGTCACACAAAATCGAAGACTTACAAGCGAAAACCGACAAACTGGTCAAAGAAGTAGCAAAGACAGTACTGCAGGCTAACATAGACAAGACGGAGGTTATGAAAATAACCAACGAATAACAACAACAATAGCAGCAACATACAGCGCCAATCACCATCAACGGGAGGGATTTGAAAGAGGTTACTTTATTCACTTATCTATGAAGAATTGTCTCAAATACAGGAGGAACGGACGAAGATGTCAAATGGAGAACCGGGAAGGCGAGAAACACATTCGTCAACCTGAAGCCAATCTGGGAATCGTCGTCACTCAGCATCAACAACAAAATTCGGATTTTCAATACAAACGTCAAGTCAGTCAGTTCTTCTATAAGGATCAGAAACTTGGTAGGTCACAAAGAATATTTCTAACAGCCTGTTGCAGACCTTTATCAACAACTGTCTTCGTTCCATACTGAAGATTAGATGGCCGCCGGAAAGAATCACCAGCAAGAAACTATGAGAACAAACAAAACAACAACCACTTGCCCAACAAATATGCAGGAGAAAGTGGAGATGGATTGGACACTCGCTGAGGAGGCCGTTGGGTGACATCGCGCGTCAGGTCAACGCTCGAGTGGAACCCGAAAGGGAAGTGGTGAGTGGGACGTCCAAGGATGACATGGAGGAGATCGTGTGAACAAGAACTGAAACAGTATGGATTAACATGGATGCAAGTGAAAAA